GTTTTGGCAACTAGCTTGAAATAGCCAATTAATTTAAACCGAGCACTTGGAAACTAAAAGCCAATTGAATTTAAATCTGATGGCTTTGACAACCAGGGATCAATTCCAGTGTAAGAAATGGACGGGTCATGAAGGGTTTGTAGAAAACAGGGCATCTGGAAAAACTGGCAGATAGCCAACTGCCATCTGAACAGCAAGAGCATACCAGCCATCTGAGGAATAAATACTTAGCTCTCAAAAAAAAAAAAAAAAAGCACCATAAAAAGGTACCACGGCACTTTAAGCTAAGAGTCCTCACAGAAGAAATTATAGAGAAAATATTCCCGACAGCAGGATCAGCAGAAGAACGGCTGGAGAGACCATGGAGAAGGCAGAGCATTCTGGAAGACACATTTTGTGTGAACTTCGAGGGACTAAATTTTAATTTATTGTTTTCTTATTACTTGGGTTTAATGTATAAGTGGGACTTGTGTTTATTGGAACATCATGCCAGTAGAATTTAGTTCAGTTAGGGGTGAATAGTTTGGTTAGTAATTCTGTTAATTTGTTCACTGTTAGGGTTAAATAAATAAATTGTTACTAGTTACTTATAAAGTGAGCATCAGGGATTCCTTTCATTCAACTCTTAACAGATTACGAGGGCCAAGGCAGGGCAAACCTCTACTCCCACCGTAACAGATTGGGGCTGGTGTTTCAGTTTAATTATCAGAGGGGTTTGACCTTTAACCTCCCCTTTGTAACACTTAACTGTCTCATATATAGCAACCGGAAGTATTTACTAGTGCTAAGGCAGTCCGGAATCCCCGGTGATGGCACCATCTAAACAAGGTCATTGCGCATTTGCCAAGTGTTAGCAGTCTGGACTTGCACTGCACAGTATCAGATTTGCTCTAAACTAAGTAGATAACGGGAAACTGCTGTGCCACTTTGTAGGCATGGACACGGTCGGTCCTGGTGGACAGGGTGGTACAGAAGAGAGGCCCCTTCTTCCCCAGGATTGCCACAGGAGATCACATCACCAGAGTCTGTCAGTTTGGTCTGAGGCTGCCACCCAGGTCACTTTGGTCTCAACTGCCTGGAGGAACGTGCAGCAATGTCAAAGGAAGGTCAATGGCCTTCTCCACCATCATCTTCTCTGCTACCTCTCAGTCACACACTCTCTGGTACTGCATTGACTCCTTACCAAGGCTCATGGCCTAGCTTATCTCACTATTCTATGCAACATCTTTCCTCACTTGCTCTCGCTCTCACCTCCACCAACATCCCACACAACTATCCCTGCATGGCCTCTGCACCTCCAACTTACTCACTAAGACCATATCACTACCTCTCCCCCACCTGCACCAGCAATCACAGCTGAGCTACCCACTTTCTTCTCCTTCAACCCCTCTTTTTCACTTATCATTATTAGTATTATTATTATCCACAATGCAGCTGAAAGAGCTAAGATGTGTACATACTTGCACGCACGTAGGATTGCTGCCTGGCATTAAACTTCTCTTCTACAAAAGGGAGAAGCCTGACCCTGACCACCGAAATGGCTGATTGACCCCACCCAAGTTGTTGAGCTGACAGCAGATCTAAACTTGACTTGTTGTGACTGAAGGCGGAGTCCCCTGACTCGAGAGGGGGCCCAGCCCATTGAACTTTGAGGCATGGCGTCTGCTCGCAATAGGTGGTGTTTGACACATATTGACCATCACATGATGCAGTTGTGCTAATGAGGTAGCACCATCTAATACTGAAACATATCCAGACCCATTGATGGATAACTTCTGACAAGCAGCCTTGTTTTGTACCTACACTAAACTACAAGGAAAGATAAAAAGTACTGTGAGCCTTTGAAATGTAGTGGAATGAACAAAGCACTGAAACATAAGGAAAGGCAGAGACGCTGACAGCATTCAGTAGGGACAAAACGAGTGAGCACCGAGAGAGAAAGTAAGAATCTCTGAGATGCAGCCTAATAGTGTCTGAGAACTGGATGCCTGCCCCTGAATGCAAAGAGTCCTCATAACAGCACTACAACAAAAGGCACCGAGGCTCGTCAAACTGAGTCATTAAAATGCAGAGGTGCACTTCAAGTGGTTCAGAAATGCATTTATGATGACGTGGAGATGCTGGCGCATGTCAGGTGCCTATGTCCATGGATGGGGAGGGTATGCAAGGCTGCTGGCCTTGGAACATTCCTTCAGATGATGACACCAAATGTCTAAGATGGAGGTCCAGAGGAGGAAGCAGCAAGCTGGTGTCAATAGGTAACCACTTAGATTTTAAGTCAGGAATTGTGTCTAGTTTCTATCCAGTGTGTGGGTGAACAGGAGCCTGCATATTAATAGGTTGTGATTAGATGGTAATGAGGGTGATAGTGAGTGATAATGTCTGTTAATAGGCCTCCTGTTGCTCACTAGCAAGAATCTCATCTTAACATTTGGGACTTTGTTAGATGATGCGACTTGTCACTCTTGACAATATCCCTTGTGATTCTCGTGATTCTCCCAAATTTTGCGCCATAGCTCAATGTTGTTTGGGTTCTGGGAAGATTCCGCCCATGAGCTTTTGATACATTGCTTACAGCAGTTTTCTGCTGGAATTTTCTAAGCCATTCAGGACATCTTCCCCAGCCCTGACTGTTTCAATAACTGATATGCTAACAGCACGTATTTGTTCTGATTGAATCTGCACACCCTGCCAGACCTTCTAGATGGCTCTGTTTCAGAGATACTGGACCTTTGTCACTAGCCAACAGCAGTTAGTTTTTTTTTTAAAACCCTCTTGCTAAGGCACCGAACTGTTCACTTCAAGGTTGTTAGCAGTCATTAAAAATGTACACTTCAACAAATTTCCAAACCTCCAGGCAATTGCACACCACCCTCCAAACTTCAAATTAAAATGTAAATAACGTTCTTCCCTTCTCACGCACAAAATAGAAACAGAAATGAAACGTAAAGCTATTCATCATTTCTGCACTTTAGAGCTAAGTAGTAATACCATGATTCTTCATCGCAGATAGCTGAAGCCTCAATTGAGAACTCTTACATGACACCAATAAAATTGCCTGTTCTTCATCCCTGCTACCTCCAGTCACTCAGCCAATTTCCTAAACAACAACTCACAGGGAATTCCACGAACTTCAAACTTTGCCTAACAGACTCTTTTAAAGAAGCTCTATTCAATGTTTTCTGGAAATTCATGTAAATAACATTCATTCCTCCATCTGTCATCCTAATGCCTTTTCAAAGGCAATTCAACAAAACTCATCAGGTATGACGTATCCTTCACTGACTGTCATGACTACCTAAAACTTTTTTTTTTTTTTTTTTTTTAAAAAAAAAGTGTACAATCAATAGATGCCAACAATTTCCAGATGTTTAGCTAACTAGTTTATAAGTCCTTGTTTTCTCCCCTTTCCTTAATAACATACAAAATTATCTAAAGGGACATGCAAATTTTGGAAAATTATAATAATTCGGCACCACATATTCTCATCTACTTCCTTTAAAACCATGGAACAGAAACCCATGCAGACACGGGGAGAACATGCAAACTCCACACAGTCACCCAAGCCAGAATCTAACCCTTAACCCTGGCGCTGAGAGGCAGCATTGTTAAGCACTGTACCACCCTGTGAATATCTAGAATTTTAGTAGCTGTATTTCCCTTTTAAATATTAAATTGTCTGGAGTTTTATCACACTCAATTAATTGCATGTACACACATTGTTAGACTATTAACTAAATGTGGCTCATTACTCATACTCCTTTTTTATTCGAGGAGTTACGGATGGAGAAAAATATCCTGCATTACCAAAACAAATTCCATCATACAGCACGTCAGAAAGGCAGAAGTTAAAATTTTCGAATAAAAGAATTTTGCTGGGTTGTATATGTTTGTGAAATCTTTTCATTTATGCAAGCTAACACTTCACAGTTGCTACTAGGGGTCCTGCATACAAATTCCCTATAGTCCGAAATCATTTTCTATTTCTTAATATTACCCATAAGCTTCCTTTGCCTATTTACTTCTCTCATATCCTGCCTTGCCATTGAAATGATTTCAACTTTACTCATTAAGATTAGAATTAACTAACGTGAAAATCAAAAACTGGATTCAGATACAATGTACGTATGACTAAGATGCCATATTCATCCCACTGTGAAATAGCAAAATGTAATTATTTACAGGCTACACTAATTTGGCAGCCAGTGTCAGAACACTTTCCTATAAATTATAGTTAGTGTATTAGCAACTAATGAAAGAAGATTCAAATTATTACACAGTAGCTTTGGTTCAACACATACGATCAATTTGCTCATTTAAAATTTATTATAATGTTTAATACCAAATCATGAAAAGACTGGAATTGAAGATTAACACTGAAATGGAGAGTAAAATTAACTACAGCTTCTACTCTCCATTACTATCTCTTTAAACACCTCTTCAATATCTTGCCACACTTGGTTCTTAAAATTGGGAGGAGTTCTTTGACACCAAAAATAGATGCTATTTATTTAGTTACCTCTAATGCTCCACTATACAACTTAATGAACTGCATCCAGACCCCACACCCTACTCTTAAAAGGTGTCATATAAACCAAAATTCTTACGTTAGTGCCTCTAATCTCTAATCAAATTGCTCCTATCGTACCTTTTTTGAACAACCACCCAGAATTTTACAAATCAATTGGAAATTAATAAAATTAGGCAGAACAAATTTGAGGCAAATTATTCAAAGTGCTCCAAAATCAGAATAGGTTTCAGAATTGGCAAAAAGGCAGAACTTCTTAAAACTTTAAAAAACAGTTTTCAGGCACAATGAAACAAATACCGAAGAAACTTCTAACTGCTCATTTTTGACAGTACTGAGCACAGAGTAAGCTAAGTTTGGCTTAAATAATTTGGAATTAGAAATTGGCATTCATGGAAATACTTCAATGCCCTCAAATAGAAGCAAAATTTTAAAAGAAGAATTAAAGGTTTAAAAGGAGGAAGCCACAAACCTTGAGAGCTTGTAGCCTAGCCTGTTCCTCTTCTAGAGCTGCTTGCTTTTCCCGTTCATCAACTTTACTCAAAGACATCCCCGTGTTGGAAAGAGTGGAGACTGCATTCGATAGAGTAGTTGCTCTGTGGAGTGGCAGAAAAAGGCATTTAAAATACATTGCTGCTTTACTATTAATACAATTATGCAAAAATATCAGTGAACTCTCCTTTTTGGACAGGAAAGCCCTTAAAAATCTAAAAAAGTGAAAAATAAATCTAGTTAAAAATTTACCAGGGAGGGAAAATAAATCTAAGTTGCAAACTGAACTGCAGTGATATTTCTAATTTTATTTGAAATTTTAAATGCTAAGGACTTGAAGAATTAACCAGCTTTGATGACTCTATGGCATAAAAACTTCTAAGCATTGAGAGGCAAAGATTACAAAAGCAAGGTGGTTATAGTGAGCCTCTATAAAACACTGGCCTGCTCTTAACTAGAACAGTGTTTTTTAATTCTGGGGACAACACCTTAGAAAAGATGCAAAGGCACTGAAAAGGGTGCAACAAAGATTTATGAGAATGGGTCCACGGATGAAGAATTTCAGTAACATGAATAGATTGGAGCGCCTGCGGTTGTACTCCTTAGGAGAACAAGGAGACAAGTTAGATAGAATTGTTCAAAATCATGAGAAATCAGATGGAAAAGGAGAGAATCTGTTCTGAGTGGTGGTGAGATCAAGAGCCAGAGAACACCATTTAATATTTATGGGAAATGAATGAATGAATGAATAAAAGGATTTTTATTTTAAGCTGTGTGCTGTGAGCATCTGAAATGAGGGCACAGTGGAGGTAGATTCAATTGTGGCTTCCAAAAGGGAACTGAGTAATAGCTCCAAAGAAAATCTTCAGGGCTACAGAAAAGGTGGGCGAGTGGGAATACATGGATTGCTCTTGCAGACAGCCACAAACGTAACATGCCAAAAGGCCGCCTTCTAAGCTGAAACAATTCTATGATTCCAAGACCCCAACACTGCACAAGTTGAAGCATCCATCAGAAAATAGAAACCAAACAGCCATTTGGTTGTACAGAACAGGAGTATTGCTGAATAAAGACACATTTCATCATGCATCCATCAGGACAATTCACATGAATATGGCAGTAAATCAGGAACAACTTTGCTATACATATGAGCAGAAAGTGCCAATTGGCTATCAAGTGGACTATGATTATAGAGCAAGTTACCATAGAAAATACACTTGTTAGATGATGACTGACAGTTAATTGCCAAGCTCTGTTTACAGTTAATAGGCAGGTTGACACTAAGATTGGTTAAGGCGGTTAAGTTGTTCCTGGGGCACGAACCAGAGAATAGCCATCACCTATTTTGTTTAGTTGAAACATGCAAAGTGCACGCCATGTGCTTTCTGGCCACAAAGAACACGACTCTAAACATTAATATACATAGCTTCCACTGTGCACAAGTGTTCCACATTACAAGCCTGACTGAACCTTAAATTGCTTGAATGAACAACAATTTCTAGGAATTATTTAGCAAATGTTGACCAATCGTAAGATCTTAGTTATGGTTGGATATGGTGTTTAGATTTCACCAGTTGTGTGGTTGGACAGGGCAATACATAGCCTGGTGTGAATAGTCAAAGCGATACATTGTTTGATATGATCCACCAGTCTTTGGGACCTTTGGACAATGTACCTACTATTACACCGACACTGAATTTCATCAACCATGTTATTCATTTCTGTGGCAGGCATAAATGTCTTGTTGGCTTGATGGCAACATCCTATTAATGGTAATATCTTAATGTCTGATGAGTGCAAGACAGAAAGCTTTGACAAAGTGTTTTTCTTCAGCACTACTCAAAGTAGGAAATTTCTGAAACATCCAAGTTAATAGGGTATTTCAGGCTTTGGTGACACTGATAGGAAAATGTGTGACCATTGAAAATTGCCCAACATATGCTAAAACATTCTAACAATGAATCTGAAGAGGAAAGGTTAATGTGGCTGTTTTTAAAGGCTTTAAAAGATCTACGCTGAGACACAAACTGTGCCTTGTAATTTATGCATTATTTATTTTAAACATTATAAATAGTTATCATTTGTTTGTGAATCACCAACATATTCATACAACACCTTCAATAATAAACAATGCAATTCACAAATGGTATTATGAAGCAAAATATGCCACTGAACCACCCAAGGAGATTTAAAGTTTTAGCAAAGATTTGTAGCTTGGGTTGTGGGTGAGGTTGTTGACTTGCTTTTATTTCTTAACTATGCTACGCCTTGCTTACCTTACCAGCAATGTGAAAATACATCAGGTCCCCTACGTGATCTGATTAATCTCAGCTTTATCTCCGCAACAGCTTGCTCAGCCCTTCACTGTCTGATTTGTTATGTTGGTTGGCAAACATGAAAAGGTGCATAAGGTGAAATGTACTCCAACTCAATACTGTGAAAACTGAAGTTAAAGTTTTGTTCCCTTCACAAATTGATTTGATGGTTACTCCTTCTAATCCTGACAACCATCTGAAGTGGAGCCATGTTACTAACAACAAAATCAAAAATTACTGGAGAAACTCATCAGATCTGGCAGTATCTTTGGGAAGAAAGTAGAGTTAACATTTCAACTCGGTTGACTCATCAGAACCAAACCTTCATACCTACGGAGTTTCTCCAGCAATTTCTGTTTAAATTTCAGATCTCCAACATCCACAATTTTTAAAAATTTTCATGTCACTAGCAACATCTTGTTGCTTGAACGTAACTTGAGCTTTCAACCACATATTTGCTCCATCACCAAGACTCACCTTCCCCAACTCTATAATGTTGCCAAATTCCTATACTGTATCGGGTTATCTGTTGAAAGTCTGATCTATACCTTTGCTGTCCCTAGACTCTGACTGTCCTAATGCCTTCCTGTCCAGCCTCTGAACACAACGGACCTCATTCAAACCTCTGCTGCCCGTACTGTAATTCACACAAAGTTTCACAACTCTTGTGTAAGCTGACAGTTGAACAATCCTCCCAATTTTATAATCACTGGCTTGAGTTTCAAAATGCTTAACACTGCTTCCATCCTGCCTCTTTAACCTACTCCAACATTATATGCCTAGATGTATGCAGTCCTTCAATTCTGGCCTCTTTTGCAAAAGAGTTTCAATTGTTTCACTTGGCTTCCATCAGCCTTGGCCCCAAGCTCTGGAATCCTCTACCCAGGCCTTTCTGCCTTGCTACTTCTCTCCTACTTTAAATTCTTCTTAAAAACTATTATTAGCCATTTTGCCCTCCAGTCCCCATATATCTTCTTCAATGACTTGGTGCCAAAACTGTTCTCGATGTGATACTCTTGCGCAGCTCAGCATGTTTTGTAAGATTAAAGGCAATTAAATGCAAATATTAATTGTGGTTACAATTTTCACCTGTTTGCTGCAGAAAATTCTTTTGTTTTTTTTCCTTCTAAGGAAGCTAGATGCTGTTCCAATGCTTCAAGCAGACTGCTTGGTGCCTGTAGTGATAATTCAAGAGAACAAATGATTAGTTTCAGCAGTAGAAAGCACCTAACCCCCTTTCATCAAAACCCACAAAATTTCAATTTATGAAAAGCAGCATCTGGGTTTGTGCTGCATCAATGGCAACAAGGAATGTCTGTAAACTTATTCTTGCTTTCACCAATTAGATCCAGAAAGAAGTCAACACCTATACTACTTGCATTGAAATTTTGAAGAAATGTCATTTTTGGCCCATTTAAGCTCACTTCAAAGGTCAGCCTTTCCAAATTAAAAAAAGTTAATGCTATCTATGAGTGCTACTATTTGCTGGTCCTAAAATAGATACTTAACATTAGAAAATGAAAAAATATTTTTGGAAGACAATGGCCAGTAGCATTAAATGAAATCTAACAAACACAGTAACAATGCAGAACGCAAGTTAGTAAATAAAACTGCATTTTTCCAATAAACCACAAGGTGAAGCTATAACACACAACTGTTTCTCTATTACTCCTGTTGAATAAAATCCCCTAATTAAAATAGAAATTATTTAGGTTCTATGTTTAATCCTAAGTACTTTACCTAACAAAACCTTAAGACAAACACGATTTTATAAAATGTGCTGAGTGTTTCATTTACGTGATTATTAAACACAAGACTTGTAAAATGATTATTTATGGGCAGCTTTATACTAAAGTTTTGTCTTAAAATGTGCTTAGAAAAGATGAACTGCATCTTAACTATCTTAACATTGGAGGCCCGACCTTCAGTTTGGTGACCATATATGCACAAACACTTCAAAAGTATGTGTGTGTAATTTTCACAAGGATGTATGGTATTTCACAGTGTTGAATGGAAAACACTCAGCCCGATTTCCAAATGGCGATGCAGCAAAGTAGCAGGGTATGGATACAAAGTAATTTGCCAGTCTCAGTTGCACCACCATGGGAAGATATACAGCAGAAGCCTGGAAGTTTGAGGAGAGAGAACCATTCATAAATGCTTGATTTAAGACAAATATAGAAGAAAATAACTTACTTAGATGCTCAAAGATGAAAAAAAAAAGGAGATTAACTACAGTCTGGAAAACTAATAGGTTTGTCATGTAATACTTGAATAGTCGACTCACGGAGATGTCAAATACATCAAATAAAAATACCTTAATTTCACAACGTCTGCAAGGACACACTGGCAGATTTTCAAATCAGAGTTCAAAAGGTAGTCCCAAAGTTTTATATTAGTCATTTACTATAATTGAAGTGCAGGTTTGGTCAAAATATGCTTTTAAGTCCCTTTCTTCTCACATTCCTGCTACCACAAAATTGCAAAATCAAAATTCACATACCTTCTCACATGAAGCAATAAAGATACTTCAGGATACAAATCTGATTTATATCTATAATAAGTATTTTTAAAACAATACGATTACGTCATTGGACTGACAATCAAATGGGAGAATATAATCTAGTTACATGTTCTTTGGAAGCAGGTTAATCATTATGATAATTGTGACTATATGATGATGAGGTATGACTCAGAAATAACTACCATTCTGTAATGTAAATTTTAAAAAATCTTTAGCTGTCAATGTAGTAGGAATGTATGACAACGTAGCAGTGAGGAGAATAGATTGAATTTCCCTCTATTTCAGCACAAATCAAGTAGTGGTGGTTTCAGAGTGGGGGGGCACATGTAATAATTAGAGGCCTTTTGTGGTAAGCTTGAATTCAAAAGCTTACTACAAACTATTTCAATTCTCAAGACACAACTAGTATCATTTTACGTAGTAAATATTTTAGGATAGGTTTACTTTTCTTACTGGAGACATGCAGGTTGGGAACAGACATATAAACCAAGAATGTAGCGATCAATACTATTTAGAAACATGCAAATAATAAGCACAAGGCTAGTTACTGTAGTTTGAGGTAGCCAACAATTCTAGCTCAATTTATATCCTGGATCAGGAAGTTTTACAACTAGCATCCCTACCGCAAGATATTTTAATGTAGCACCACTTCATAATGTAAAGAAGTCCCATTGCTTTCACAGAAGCACAAATCAGATTTTTAAAAAAAATCAGTTCAGCAAGTACTTACAGTCTGAAAAAGGTGTAATAAAAACAGTGAATGTCTTGCTCACTGTGTTAATGCATGCAATTTTGGAGCACAGATGAAACAATGCCTTCAATGCAATGAAGACAAGCTGTTTTTTTTTTTATAAAGGAAATACATGTGACTACAACTTAGGACACTAATTTTCCCCTACAGGTATCTACTGATGCCAAGATATTTTCACATGACAGTTGTGATCCTCTGACATCCTGCCCATAGCCTCATAAGTGAGCCAATCTGGATATCAACAGCTGGAAATAGTTGGTCATCATAAGACCCGCTGTTGCTGAGAAAGAGTTCTGAGGAAGACCCAAAACGTTAACTCTGATCTTTTCCTCACCACGTGCTGCCAGACCTGCTGAGCTTTTCCAGCAACGTCTATTTTTGTTCCCATTGTTGCTGAACCTGATTCACCCAATGTACACATACTTCCAGAGGAGGATGGCAAACTAGCAATTTAGCAGAATTTATGGTGAATATTTCCCCTTACAAATCTAGCTAAGCCTAACCACCAACCTATTTCAAGTTTTCACAACTTGGAATTGTCACCCTTTGACTTGAACAGGAACACACTCCACTTACACAAAGCAATTGTGTGAAGTAAATTAATCAAACTAAATTTTGAATCATAACGTGTACTTTTAAATGCATCTCAATGCTTAACACACAGGAAATTGGGACTCATTGTCACTCTCTCCTAGTCTAAACTAATTTCATTGCCAGGACATTAAAACTGTGTTATCTCTAGCTTGCCATTTCTCTGATAATCCAAAACCACACGATACAAATCTTCCATTGCCCATAACTAACTCCCGTCGTCATTTTTTCCAACCGATGCACTGTGAACATAATCCATTGTGTTGGTTTAAGAATCGAGACGGAACTTGTTTTATGGATAAAGAACTGGTATCATCCTTGTGTTATTGAACATAGGTCTCATGCATGTTATGGTTTAGCCCACCTACCTGGTCAACAGTGTCAAAGCTTGCATTCAGTTTACTTCAATTTTTTGACCTGTTCAACCAACAGCACCTTGGACATTCTAGCCTTAATACAGAACTTGGATTTAATTCTCAATCGACTAACAATCACATATTCTGATTGTAAGTATAAGAGGGGAATAATCCAACATTCGAGATGAAAGTAAGATTACAAAGTAACAATGCAGATGCTCTTTGGGCATTACAGAAAATATTCAACTCTGAATTCAGTTTACATTAAACATTGCTTCAATCAAACATTCTAAACCAGAGTTCAGCAAGTTAAATCTAGGTCATGAAAGTTAAAAAGTTCAGAGATATTGATCAACTTTCCTTCAAGTCACATGGCAAAGACTGGGCACTACTTCATACAATGCCAGGTACAAAGCTGAGTTCACATAAAATATACATGTATAAATCATGTATACACAGAGACTCATGCTCTCTGTAGGAAAAGAAAACTTAAAGCCCAGGAGTTGGGAAATGGACAAAGCTAAATGATATGTACACTGACCTGAGTAAGATCTGGAATGTCACCCTGATCAATTCCAACTTGCTGTGTCAACAAAGAAAAAGTTCACATTACTTCATGCAGTGGCAAGTAAATAAAAAAAAACGGAAAGTGATTGCATGCTTACAGAATGCTTCATATACAGGAAAAAAGAGGGAAGTGGTGGGTTTGGGAGAAATAGACTACAGACAAGCATAAATATATATTCACCTCTGCAGTTTTGAGGAATTCGGACAGCTTGGTCATTCTAGCCAGAAATTTTTTGTAGATGTCTAAGGCTTCCTTGCACTGGTTTTTCTTCATATCAAAGTATTTCTCTGGAAGAAGGCAATCAACACAAGATCTTCATACACATTTTCAAAATCATAAATATTATAAAATGACTTTAAAAAAACTCCTAAGTTAAAAACGCATTTAAGAATTGTCCATACCTGCCACTGTATTTGTTTTTAAAGCAGCTGTAGCCAGAACCATTGCAATGCATGAAAACAGGAAATAAAATGAACCTAATTACATGCAATGTTTCTGTCAACCTTGTTAGAAAAAGCATGTTTTTTCCCCCACTATAAACATTTCAAAAGTATAAATGGCATAATTTCTTCAGCTTAAAAGTTTACATAAAGATTTCTGTACTTTTCCTGATAGCTTTTATATACACAACACATGGCAAATCACAACAATTTTGAACATGTACAGAAGTACTGAAGTAGTTTGAGCAGAACTTCCAAGCTTGTTACATAACTCTTAAAAGATGAACTAAACTCTCCCTCTACGTACTCAACTAAAGAGTGATACACATCTTTATTTGACCCTGGTTCTAACCGAATTAACATGGCTGTTCTTTTTCAAAATGGTTAAATGAAGTAACTTACATACTGTAATTACTCAAAATAAGAATGTTAAGAGTACGGCATGTATTTGTTCAATAGCTAACAGTACTGTATCTTTCCCTCAACACAATATTCAACTTTGCTTGGTGACTACTTAAAATACCATTCATCTGTGGTTTGATGTTTAAACCAAGTTTCTGTACACTATGAATGAAAGTAAAAAAACATGAAGGATCCATCTCTGTTACATGCACAGACACACGATCAGGTCCCCCTGCTCCTGCAACTTTTAGAATTGTACCCCTCATTCACTGTTGTCTTTCCATGTTCTTCCGACTTAAAGTGCATTGCCTCATTCTCTGCATTGAACCTCATCTGCCGCCCATTTGTGGAGCAGGCAAAAATGTTAATTTCCTTTTGGAATTCCACTCTGCCCTCCAAGTTTACAAATCTTCCAAGTTTAGTGGCGTCTTGTTGCAGCTTAATATTAGCCTAGACACTTACATCCCTGAGGAATATCTATTGGATTATTCAATATCATGATACTCAGACCCAGTTTCTTATGTGATAGGACTTTAACCTGATACAGTAACACTTATGTTTAAAAAAACCTGCTAGAGGCAACCTCACACTGAATGGGGTTTAAACTGATTTTAGCGCTACTGAAAATATGATCATCCTATCACCTTCTCCCAAAGGTTATTATTCTGGTTAACACTTTGATGACTGAAAACTTTGGATAACTGACACCAAATAAATTATACAGATATTTGATGTAGCTGAAACAAAAATCAGAAAATGCTGGAGAAACCCAGAAAATCTAGCAGTACCTAAGAGAGAAACAGAGTTAATGTTAAGTCCGATTTGACTTCTTCAGAATTCTGGAAAATTAGAAGCAAGGGTATACCATTTGGCTCCTTAAACTTGCTAAGCATTTGGTAATAAAATGGCTGATCTGATTTGGCATCCAACCTACTTTATTGTTGTTACCTGTAACCTGTGACTTCGCTGTTGACCAAAAACATTAACTCAGCCTTGAGCAGTTCAATGACCCAAATTCCACTCATCTCCGTAAAATAATTCCCAAGACCAATGACCCTCAGAAAAAAGTTCTCATTTTAATGGAGAAAAGTTGGCACTTGTATGGCATCCTTTTTGCCTTTTGGATTTTTTTTGTTTTGTTTTTAAATCGTACACCATACATCTCACTTCTGGAAAATTAATACTGATCAATCTCCTGCTTGATTATTTTTGTGTGTTGTTAGTTAAGTACAAATGTCCTTTTCCAACCCCCGCTAAATTCTGTAATTTTCTTGGTCAGTAAATGATCTTTGACTCATTACAATTTACAATTCTTACATTAAATCTCACTAGCGTTTTTTGTTTACTCATGAGATGTGGACATAGCTGACTGTGCCAGCCTTTATTGCCCATCCCAAGTTATCCTTGGGAAGATGGTGGTGAGCTGCCTTCTTGAATCACTGCAGTCCATTTGATATCAGAATTCCAGGATTTTTACTCAGTGATAGTGAATACACTGCGGTATATTTCCAAGTCAGGATGGCAATTTCCCAATTGCGCAACTCTTAATCGCAGTTGTTTGTCCCACTTCGCTACCCAGAACTGAATTAGGCAATGCCTCTTTCCTTATTCCCTCAGAAACACTGATGCAAGAAATAATCTTGGATGCATTCTAAATAGCATTTGCAACTTTAGCCCCATATATTCTCTTGATGCCAGTCTACCCTACCTTAGATGATTTAAAGTACCTTGCAGCATTGCTCCATTTTTACATGTCTCTAAACTATCACCTGCAAAAAGCTCCCACCTCCTATTAAAAAGGATGATCATCACAGTAATGGCATGTTGGTCAAGTTGCCGACGAATAGGGACTCCCTGCTTGCAAAACAGTGTAATAAAGACGTAGTAATAAAATTATTGCTAAGCAGGATTTCCTCCATCACTCAGACTTTCAGTGCCACTCTTAAAAATTGTAAAAGTGAAACTGTAAGGAAAGTTATTTGCTGTAAGACCAGTTACTGGGTCAATTTCCAAATGTTGCATTATCTCAAAGAAAGCATACTTTCCACTAAAAGACACCATCCAGTCCTAAACACGTCAACCAGAGTTTCTACGATACTTGTCCATAAACAAGCACTGCTACACCTCTAGCCCTTTTTCACAGGCTCTGGCAAGTGCTTCCTTCATTACTGTTTTTCTAAAATTTATTTGGAAAAGTTTTTAAAACGATTAGATTTTTTGGTCTATATTAAAGTAGTTTTTTTAAATAACATTTCAGCAATTACAGTCATTCCTGTTGCAGAAGAGAATAAAGTTGCCAGAAATAATTAGGGAAGGACAACACATTCCTCCTTTTCATGTAGGGACACACCAATTTCCTGACAATCACTTAAAGACAGAAAGAAATGTCTATTCCATTTTAGCTACATATCAGAAACCTGTCCTGAACAAGGTAATGGATGATGGATATCAGACATATTATAGTGTTTTCAATTTCTGTTCTGCTTAAATCACCAAACTCCATTCCATACACTCCCCTCATGAATGCGGTCTTTTGGTTACAAAAATTATTGCCTCTTCTTTCCACTGTCTGCAACATATGTTACAGCACAAATATCAATGAATATTATGGCTACAAGCTAATCATTTTGAGCCAGACATGCTTTATGTAACTTGAGGTTTTATCAGGTAATATGCATTACTCGGTTGTATTAAGTTGGTATGTATTTTCAAGGCCCTAATGTGTAATTGTGGCTCTAAAGGACAATTTTATGTAGTTTTTAAAAAAATTTTCAAACTTGTACATTTCTTGTTCCACAAAGATGGTGGTTTGAGATGGCATTAGAATACTTATAAATATCCAAAGCTTGATGGTATTTTTTTTTTCCAATTCAGAAACAAATCTACCAATGGACGGAAGCAAGCAGGAAAAGAACTTTATGCAAGCCTTTATTTACCCTGAAGCAAATAGTTAAATACTGTAAATATACAGAAATGCAAGCAGAATAATGATGGTCGGGCTTAAATCAAAAACACAGGTTTTGATGTCATTACAATATGGAAACATTGGAGTGCAAACAGAAGAATCAGAGGTTTTCATTACAAGATAAGCAGCTTTCTCATCTATTTGTTTTTGCTTAAAAGCTAGTTTAAACAACTAATTCTTCATAGAGACAAATGGCAAATTATTTATTTATCCAGACTCATTCCCAAGACTTGAGCTTTATAACTTCTCTTCCTGAAGATAGAACATGACAAAAGCTGGTAGCAAGAGTTTCTACAAATATTTAAATAGGAAAAGCAATTAAAAGCCCCAACTGTGTATTACATGCAGTAATGAGAATTTGGGAAGTTGAAGGAATGTTAACCTCTTTCTCAAAATCAAAATTTGCTTGTATTTACCATTTAGGAATTAACTGAAAGTCACTGTTATACAGTGCAACCTGAATGGAGTGCTAGGCGTTGGACACGTTGAAGTAGTTTGGTGAGGGGAAAAAAAAAGGTGCTTTTCCTTTTCTTAAAAATCCTGTAGGAATTCAGTCTTTAAGTATTCAATTTATAAGCAGTGAAATGGAAGCTGATGGGTGAGTAATACTAATTTCTAGTCTCTAATCTCCAGTTTAAAATTACTTTTGAACTACTTATAAAGTATGGCAGAGCTTGATCATGTGCAATATTGTGAACACAGCCAGTACCAAGACAAGCACATATGCACAATTGTCACTAGATGAAGAAACTTGGGCTCCAGGTTTCAGAGTTCAGCAGAAGCTGAAGTCATTGTGGGATATACCTGAGGCAAAGGAACATGTGAATAGCACACTTAGGGCAGTTGTCACAAAGATAGTAACATGCAGGCAAATAAGGAACGGATGACTACCAAATAAACCAGACAGGTGGTGCAGGAGTTTCCCAAAACCATGTTACTTACTAAGCAGTTTTCCATCTGGACACTGCATAGGTCAACCATTCCTCAGAGGAATGCTGCACAATCTAAGCCTGTGACACCACTGGTGGCTCACCAGCACAGGAGGGAAGAGAGACAATTGGAATTGCAGTAGCAATGGGGGTTTCCATTTGTTAGGGGATAAAAATAAGCAATTCTGCAGGTGTAGATGTGACTTCAAGGTGGCATACTACCTTCCTGGTATCAAGTTCAAGGTTATCATCAACATGCTTCTAGACAAGGGTGACCAGCCAGAGGCTGCAGTTGTATTCTACATTGGTACCAACAGCACAGGGGAAGGGAACACAGTTCTGCAATCATAATTTAGGGAACTAGATAGGCAATTAGCATGCTGGAACTGAAAGGTTGTAATCTTTGGATTATTCCCAGTGCCATATGAAAATAGGAGGATAGGTCAGATGAATGCATGGCTGGAAAGATGATGCAGGAGTGAGGGAGGGAGGGCTTTAGATTTCTGGGACACTAGGACTAGCTTTTAGCAGAGATGTCACCTGTAGAAGCT